TCCCGCTCGCCACAGTAAACAGAGACTCGCGCCATTCTCCCTGCGACCCTCACTCGTCCCAGCTCGCCACAGTAAACATGACTCGAGCCGTTCTCCCGCCCGGCCCTCACTCGTCCCGCTCGCCACAGGAAACATGACTCGCGCCGTTCTCCCGCGGCCCTCACTCGTCCCGCTCGCCACAGTAAACATGACTCGCGCCGTTCTCCCGCGACCCTCACTCGTCCCGCTCGCCACAGTAAACATGACTCGCGCCGTTCTCCTGCGGCCCTCACTCGTCCCGCTCGCCACAGTAAACATGACTCGCGCCGTTCTCCGCGGCCCTCACTCGTCCCGCTCGCCACAGTAAACATGACTCGCGCCGTTCTCCCGCGGCCCTCACTCGTCCCGCTCGCCACAGTAAACATGACTCGCGCCGTTCTCCCGCGGCCCTCACTCGTCCCGCTCGCCACAGTAAACATGACTCGCGCCGTTCTCCCGCAGCCCTCACTCGTTCCGCTCGCCACTGTAAACATGACACGCGCCGTTCCGTTGATATCACTCATCCCGCTCGCCACAGTAAACATGATGAATGGCGACTGTAGAACACAAAAGCCGAATCCCAGACTCATCATGGAGACTCGCTAGTAGCCTAGACTTGTTGTTTAACTACTGCGCTCTGTTACCGGTAGGCGTGGCCTCCTAGGGCAGCGAAGCAAGTGCATTTTTTTTTTTTTTTTGTGCTTTGGCAGATACAGGCTTTAACAGTTTGTGGCCTGAGAGCCTATCGTGATCTGCAGCTACTCAGAACTAAGAATGTGTAATAAGTGGCAATAAGCATCAAGATATCACAGTTTTTTGCGGGAGGAGATGTTTGTTTAGTCTCTTCTTGAAGGCCTGAATATTCTTTGAGGTGATTTCACCTACTACGGTAGAGGGGAGGCAGTTCCAAGTTGTTACAGCTGAATGAAGAAAGCTCCTTCCCAAGCATTTTGTGTTAGACTTGGGTAATTTTAGTGCGTGACTTGCTCGTGCTCTTCGAGTGGTTCGGCAGACGAGATCTGGTGGGGGTAGCAGAGCTTTGAGATCCTCTGGACAGTTTTCAGTGTGCATTTTGAAAAGCACAGTTGTTGCTGCAACAGTTCTCCGATGGTTGAGCTGACTGATTGCATATTTCCTTAGGGCAGTGTCCTCATCCACCCCAATGATTTTCAGTGCCTTTTTCTGGATGTTGTCAATCTGCCTGAGGGTGGTCTGTGATGCATTCATCCAGGCAAGGCAAGAGTACTCCTGACTTGTGCCTTGTAGACATTGGCCCTACCTTTGACATCAAGCTTGTTGGCCAGCCTGCGCAGAGCTCCAAGACACTGTCCAGCACGCTTACAGATGTTTGACAGGTGATTATTCCATATCAACTTATTATCGAAACATAGTCCCAGAATATTCAACTGCTCAAAGAGGTCTATTCTGGTTGTCCCAAAGAACAGGTCCGGACGGGATGGAGGCCTCTTTCTCGACAGAACCATAGCCTTGCATTTGCTGGGTTCGAACGTGACCTTCCAAGTATCTGCCCACCTGCGAATATTCTCCAGATCTTCATTTAAGGATGCTGCCACATTGGGACCATTAAGTGCTGTTAAGTGCTCCATACTGTTCTCTTGTATGGCTTGTCTCTGAAGACTGGGATTTGTAGCTGTATTAGAACAGGGTTGTGATCAGAGGATCCCATTTGTGCTAAGGTGGTAGTAGTTGCTGGTGTGTCTGACAGAACTAGTTCTAGAATATTTTCTCCTCTAGTTGGTTCCATGACCATCTGATCAAGTCCCAGACAATTGGCGAGTTGTAAGATTCGCCGTCCAGCACTGTCAGTTTTATTACTACCCAGCCACTCGTGGTGGTGAACGTTAAATTCACCTATGAGCATTACGGACTGTGCTCTATATTCGTCCATCACTGCGAATGTGTTCTTGTCAAGGTAGTCCATGATATCGCAGGAGGCACTTGGGGGGCGGTAAATAGCACCTATCAGGAGTGCCCTGGTTTTCAGAGCAACAGTAAACCACATAAGCTCAAGGTCATCAGGATCTCTAGCTGGATTGTGATAGATGGATATTCCTTCTAGACAGTATACTGCTATGCCACCACCGCTTTTCAAAGTGCGATCTCTGCGACAATTGAGCGAGTAACCAGGGATCTGGATGGAGTCAGCCCCGTCTGGAGTGGTGGAGTCAAGAAAGGTCTCAACTACGATGACTATGGAGGGTTTCTTCACTGAACAGCAGTTGGCTAGATCCCCAATATTGGACCGTAGTCCTCTGATGTTCACTTCAAGGATAGTCAAATCGGATTCGTTAATTCGTAGTCGTGGTCCATGCAGTGGTCGATATTGGGTAATTCGTTTGTTTCGAGGCTTTCTTTCAAGATTTGTAGCAGAGGTTTGACGGCACAGGGGGAGCTAACCCCTGTGCCCATTTTTACACACCTGAGCAGTGCGGCAGGAATCAGTGCATACATGGCCTGATCCGAAAGCATCATGCCTAAGCAGAGGACTCATAACGGATCGGGCCCCATAAAGGAGCCACTTGTTCAGGGACGGGGTGATCGCACTTTTAGTGATCCCTGCTATCCCACATTCTGGGAGTTGTTGTCTTTCATCCACATAAGCCAAAAATACATTTTCTGGCTTTTCTCAGTCTTCTACATAAATGACCCATTTTAAATACACAGTCATCTTTCCAGAGGTGAAGTATCCCTTTAAATGTCATTGGTAAAACATGAATTACAACTCTTGTGACAAATGTGAAGGGGGAGGAGAATTTATACGTCAAGTATTCCACAAAAACCTCCTTCAAGCATCCTCAGTAAGCGTTCTCCATCATTGATCTTCCCCTCCTCACGGTGCAATTTTACAATTGATATGTCCTTCATCATGGGCAACTTGGTGATTGTGTGAAATATTGTGTAATAAATAAATATTGGTGATTTGTTCCCTCAGAATGAAGAAGTGCAGTTCCTTGAGAGTGAGCTGCAAAACCAGAAACAGAAGTTCTCAAAGCTGAAGAGCTTCACCAAAAACCTGCTGATCGCTGTGAAAAACAAAGACAGAAAGAAACAGCAGGTAAAGAAACAGTTGGGTTCAACTTTTAGACAGCAATGAAGGAAATCAAATCTTGATCGTTGTGTTTGTCTGTGTTCTCAGGAGCTGTTAGCCAGTCTACCTCAGAAAGTGAACGAGGACTGGGACCTGGGCCTGGAAAATCACAGCATGTCCAGCATAGAGACGCCCCCCATCCAGAAAGAGTCCTCTGTATCAGAGGAGGAGGGGGACACCGATCAAATCAGACTATAAATGCAGGGCAGCTTCCACCTCTTCTGTTACTCACATGTGCCACATAGTGCCTGTGGAAACGAACCAATAACTGTTGGATCCTACAAATCATTTTCTATAGCATATCAGACTGCCTTGGCCAGGTCCAGTACTATCAAATAAACGCCACTGAGTCAACTCAAGATCTGTGTCTTATTATTTGTATGATGACTGGAAGCATACAATGTTCTAATTGAGATTATAATTAAGCAGGTTCAAACAAGCAAGAGTGCTTTTCTGGGATGCTTTTCCCAAACCCAAATGCGTTTTCTCTTGCAGGTTGTAGAACTTGAGACCATATTTGGCTAACGATTTGGTTTTGGGAAACGCACGCCTGAATGTTGGCTCCCCTGGGATTTGGCCATGGCTTGCAGGTAATTGCAGCTGTGCTGATATTCAGAATGACAGCATTGTTCTATAAGCAAGTAACTTGTGTTTCCAAGTTGGTTCATTCTCAGTGAAAACAGCTGCGTAAAACTGTGCATGTCAGCAAGTCTGGAAATGTGTATGTGAGTCGAGCGGAGTCTTATGCAGTCGCTATATGTTACAACCACCTGGCTCTAGGTGATGCCACATAAAGAGGGGAGGCCACACATGGAAGTCAAATTAACAGACAAACATTTAATCAGAAATAAATCTTAAAATTAATGCAAAAAAATAACTAAAAGAAAAATCAATCCGGGGATGAAGGGTAAATAGGTGAACGGCACTAGCAGACTTGCTATATACCTTAGGGTACGTTTACACAACAACAATATGCTTAAAACGGAAAAGTTTTTCTTTTGTAAAATAAGTGTGAGTGTGCACTAAGTGTGTATAGCCTGTCTTGTTGGCAAAAGCTATTTACACTAACCCCGCCCACCAATGTCTGGTTGGGCCACACAAGATCAAAAAAGACTCACATACAAAGTGAACTCTGCAAACACATTACACAAACCAAAGCATCATAACAATCATCCGAGTCTTTGAAGTCGAGACCGAGTCTTTGAAGGGTCGAGTCCGAGTTGAGACAGAGTGCGTTTGTATTCAAATACAGTCGAGTCAATGCTCTCCATGCAACTCTGAAGGAACTACCTGTGAGATAGGATTCAAACCGGAGGAGTTGAGTACCTGTGATGCCCAGTGATGAGAGGGTGGACAGAAGGATCTGATGATTCACAGTGTCGAAAGCATCAGATCCAGGAGAATGGGAACTGATGATTTGGAAGCAGCTTTCACGATCCGCAGGGCTTCTGTGACCAATAGTAATGGCATCTCAGTTGAATGCCCTTTCTTGAAGCCAGATTGGTTGACATCAAGCTGGTTATTCTGAGACAAGAAAGATGATACTTGGTTGAAAGAAACTTGTTCAAGTGTTTTCGCAATGAATGGTAGGAGAGAGACACGTAAGTAACTCTCTACCAGTGAGGTGTTAAATGTTTTTTTTTTTCTTCTAAGCAGTGGGGTTACCCAAGCCTGCTTGAAATACAGTAGGGAAAATACAGTATGGATGGAAGAGTGTATGATGTGCTGGTAAAAGTGTGGGAGAGATTGCTGTGAGGGGATGGGGTCTAGAGGGCAGGTGGTAGGATGACTGGAGAGGAGAAGTTTAGATACTTGCATTTGGCAGATGCTTTTATCCAAAGCGACTAACATTGCATTTCAACACTCAAAAAATGAACTAGGGAGGTTGTGCACTTTACATAATATATTTATATATAGTTTACTTATAATAATTATGTTTTTTGACTTTAAATGTTTTTTTTTCTATTAAGGTCTATGTAATTGTGTCTCAACTTAACAGTAGGGGGGTTGGTGGTGCATGGGTAGTGAGTTGAAGATTGAAAGTAATGAAGAAATGATCGGAAATGTGCAGAGGTTTCACCAAAATGCTGTCTGTGATGCAGTTGCGTGTGTAAACCAGGTCCAGTTGGTTGCCTGATTTGTGGTCATGAGCCGTTTGAGATCGAAGGAGGCTAGGAGAGAGATGAAGTCCCACAGTCACCAGATCTCAACCCAATAGAGCATCTTTGGGATGTGGTGGAACGGGAGCTTCGTGCCCTGGATGTGCATCCCACAAATCTCCATCAACTGCAAGATGCTATCCTATCAATATAGGCCAACGTTTTTAAAGAATGCTTTCAGCACCTTGTTGAATCAATGCCACGTAGAATTAAGGCAGTTCTGAAGACATAAGGGGGTCAAACACATTATTAGTATGGTTTTCCTAATAATCCTTTAGGTGAGTGTAGAACAAATAAACGGAAAGAAAAAAAGGCCACAAGACAGGGGTGTATAACTAATCAGAAAATATTACATATCAAAGGAAAGTTTTAAAAGACTTACATATTTCAGCCTTCTTGGTACAAGAGTCAGAAATAGTCCCAAAGCAAAAGATGAAAACTGGTTTCTGCCCTGAGAATTTACATTTATGCATTTAAAATTTTGTCAACAACAAAAAAAGAAGTTAAAGGGATATTTTGTTTTTGTGTAATCGTTCTCCCCCCCCCCCCCCCCCCGTTAACAATTCCAAACAAAATAAATCCACTATAGTCTCTGAGTGCTTTACAAAAAGAACAGTTTCAATATCTTTTTGAAGGAATTATTAACTGCATATACACAATGGACAATTCAAAAGGAAAGTTCCCTTATCTTATTAGTAATTAAATATCTATTCGGAAATCAGCCAAAACTTTCTCCAGACAATATCTTTGTAACACATTCATTCAGAAATAATTGACGTATTGATGAGAAGTTGATTAAAAGCAATATTTCCGCACCACTGTAACTCTAGGATCTAAAGGAGGTAAAGAGGAGATGCAATAACTCCAAATGATACGGCATCAAAAACAATAGCAAAGGCTAATGGGAATGTTAAAACGACTAAGGAATTCTTCATAGTTTAATAAATGGCCATTTGCATTAAATAACAGACTGACCACCAGGAAAATATCAACCTCAAACCAGAGCTGGAAGAAAAGAGATTTGTTTTTACGGATAGCACAGTTCCATATGAAATATATTTGTGAGGAGAAAAGTGCTTGTAGTAGGCCTATATCAGAGACCAGGCAAGAAGGATCTGCTTATGAAATTTAGAAAATTTAGCTGGTATTTTTTCAACATTATAATTACAAAACAATAAAAATTTTAAACCACCAAATTTGGAGAAAATTACGGAGTCCCTCTAGTCCCACTTTGGTAAAAAAAATTAATTATAACTATCTTGTGGCCTCAAGATAGTAACTCGTGGCCACAAGATAGTAACTCGTGGCCTCAAGATAGTAACTCGTGGCCTCAAGATACTAACTCGTGGCCACAAGATACTAACTCGTGGCCTCAAGATAGTAACTCGTGGCCTCAAGATAGAGTTAGTAACTCGTGGCCACGAGATACTAACTCGTGGCCACGAGATACTAACTCGTGGCCACGAGATAGTAACTCGTGGCCACGAGATATTAACTCGTGGCCACGAGATATTAACTCGTGGCCACGAGATACTAACTCGTGGCCTCGAGTTAGTATCTTGTGGCCACGAGTTACTAACTCTATCTTGAGGCCACGAGTTACTATCTTGTGGCCACGAGTTAGTATCTTGTGGCCACGAGTTACTATCTTGTGGCCACGAGTTAGTATCTTGTGGCCACGAGTTAGTATCTTGTGGCCACGAGTTACTATCTTGTGGCCACGAGTTACTATCTTGAGGCCACGAGTTACTATCTTGAGGCCACGATGTATCTTGAGGCCACGAGTTAGTATCTTGAGGCCACAAGATAGTTATAATTAATTTTTTTTTACCAAAGTGGTACTAGAGGGGCTCCGTAGAAAATAATATATAATGTGGAATGAAGTTCCAAACAGAAGTTGGATTTTGGAGAAAGCCTTTGGCCCAATTCATTTTAAGGGTATTATTGAATGTACAAAAGTCAAACATATTGAGGCCACCATCTAAATAAGATTTCTTGAAATAATGTATGCCGTTTTTCTTGTGCTCGGTTGCTTGATGGGGAAATCCTCCGCTGGGTTGCGTCACAATGACGTCATCGCTGCCGTCTTCAGCTCGCGCGGACAGAGACGGCCATATTTGCGGGAATAAGCGAGCAGAGCGTCCCGCGCGGTTTGTGTGCTCCTGCAAATCGCCCGCGTCACTTGATCTTCATGCACATTTAATGGTCACACACGACGCAGAAATGCCTCACGGAATAAGCCTCTAGTCCAACCATATGATATCTTTCGGCCCCGCGACGGAGTCCTCGCTCAAAATGGAGGTGCAGAGCGTCAGCAGTGAGGTATGTCATATATATGACAACGTTCATTGACCAGTATTGATAATCGGCGATTTTAATGACAGTTTTGTGTGTTTGGTGATGATGTGAGCGAGCGTGTCCCTGTCGCGCGGGTGCGCGCGCGCAGTGTGGAGACTCGCGTGACGACAGCGTTAGCTCGAGCGGTTAGCATGTGATATTGATGCTACTCGTGATTCCTGCACAATATTGAATCAAATGACGCTCATATCAATGACATCGTGTTTCTGCAGTGTGTAAAACACGAGCGTGTTCATGAGTTAATGATGACAATGAAGATTAGCCTGCGCTTGTTGATCGGATTCACCTTATGAGTCATGACTAAAGCGCGCGCACGCACACACACACGCACACAGTCTCATCTGCCTTCATCTGTTAGTAACACTGATTGAGCTGTCAACTTAAATCTGTACTCGTATCAGACAGGATGTGCGATATAGTTTAATCTTTGTCTTGTTTTTGTCTGTTAAATAAATAATTTCTAATAAATAAACTAAATATATATGTGTCGTTCTCTCTATGTCTTTATATAAGCCTATTCTTCAGCTCTCTGTTGAAGATATTTTCAATAACGTTACGTAAATATTATTTCTCATAAAAGGCTTTGTGTTTTGTTTTTTTGGTACTGAGATTCTGTTTCTGAAACGCAGATTAGTGTGCACTTGGGAATGGACTTCAGTTTTAAAGGGATAGTTCACTTTGAAATGAATTTTTGATATGTTTTAGCTTACCTCAAGGGCATCCAAAATGTAGGTGTCTTTGTTTTCGCAGTATTTTAAATTTTGATATTTTTAGGTCAAACCGTTCTTGTCTGTCAGTCATATAATGGAGGTCTATGGTCACCACCTCAAAGAGCATGCACA